CCCAGCAGTGGAGCCAGGGCCAGATGATCTGTAAGGGGTGGGTTGCTATGGCAAATGCTGGGGTGCAGGGACAGAGAAGGAGAGCACCTCAGTGAGTTATCTCGTGTTCCCCACTTGGTAGACCACTGACCTTAGAGCTAGAAGGGACCTCAGAGGTTTCCTAGTCTAGTCCCTTCATTTTAAAGATGAGGAAACTGAGGCCCAGGGAGCTTATGACTTGTCTCTGTGTGTTGGACTAGTCATTACAGTTCCTTCCACTCCTGAAATTCTGTGATTTGGTGCCCCCTGGAATAGGAGCAAAGAGAACTGCTTTTGAACCCTAGTGTGGCTATTAACTCCTTGTGTACCATGTCTGTTGGCATCCACAAAGTGAGGAGCTGGGCTGATGGGTCTTTTCCACCTTTGATGAGCTGGGATCAGCTGAGCTTGGGAGGGGGGCCCTATCCCACACTCTCATACCTGGGTTCAGCAGTCTCCTTTAGCCCTGTGATGTTGGGAATTCTGTTCATGTTGAAGCTGCTGGACATTTGCTTTTTCTTCCAGTCTGTTTCTTCTCCTGATTGATCCAGTGGGTAAAACTGGAAGGTTAAATGGTCTGTTGGAGGCACCCCCAACCAGAATGGCCCCCACTAAAGTCTGCCCACCCTCCTTAGCATCCTCCAAAGGCCCTTCCAGGAATGGGGAATTCAGTCCCCACTGTAAGAGCCATTTAGACTGCTGTAATTAATTGGTCAGACATTCTGCCTTACATCAATCAGGTGTCTTGTTTGGCTTGTGTATTCTGAGTGAGGGAACGTCAAGCCCTGGCCAATGGTGAAATCTCGGTTAAATTGTTTTCTCTGAGATAGACTTAGAGCCCAGTTACAAGCTGGTGAAAAACAAACCGATTTTCCTTGAAGTGATGTACTCTCTCTCGGCAGTTCCTATATCTGAGTGATTAGATTTGGATATTTATAGCAGAAGGTTAAGTAGAAAAGAATGGGGCCTGGTGGGAGGAGGCCGGCCTGGGGAATGCTGCCATCTGGTGGGGCTCAGAAGAAAGCAGTCTCTGAAGCTGGGCTTTCATGGTAAACAGAATGGGGGCCCCAGGCATGAACGGCCAGGCCCCCCCCCACATTTTATAGAGGAGCAGACACACCCAGAGAGCGGAGAGGGGGTCTTCATTTTGGTGGAAATGAAAGAATTGTACTGTCCTTGCCCCTTTTTCATGACATGATCCATGTAAATATATTTCTCAAATAATTTTATTCAAATAAAAATAAGAATTTATTAGCATTTTATGATACAAACACATCTTAAAATACACAGACTTATTTATTGATAAAAATCCTTGACAGTATTCATGTTGCTGACATAAAAAAAGGCAGCTTGCTTTAGTGGCTAGGAAGCTGGCCTGGGAGCCTGGGAGGCCTGGATTCATGTGCTGCCCCTGACGCCCCCTGGCTGGGTGAGCTTGTGGGCAAGGCCCTTCACTTCTCGGTGGTGAGAGGCTGACAAGAAGGTGAGTTCCTCATATGAATGAAGGAACAGGCCACTTTTCTATCCTTAATGCAAACTTAGAAAAATAACCAGAATGATATGTGATGAGGCAGGTAGGAGCTCTCCTTGGAATTATGAGCAAAGCAAGTCTAACTTCTCCCAAATACTGATTGTGTGGCTTCTAATATCTCAGTGCCCCAAGCAGTCCCCCCACCCAGACCAGACGGGGTAGAAAAGGTGCCAGGCTGTACTAGTAGGTGGCACTTCCCATGCCAATGAAATTACCCATTAGTACCCCAAATCAAAGTCACTTATAAACAGGTGTTCTTGTCTTGATGTGGTGTGTGTATCAAATGATATTTTTTAATTCCCAAGGAGGGGCTTGCTATTTAAACATGAAGGAGGTGAATCCTTTTGCCCAGTCAATTGCCCACTCCCTAATTCATCTGTTAAGTTGGGATTTTTATCTCTTGTTACTTTTTTCTTAAAGGATAACACACTTGCGATCTTGAGTTAGTGTGTAAGTGGTAGATATTAGTCTGAGGAAATTGGAAGGGAAATGGCCCGATTTGATTTAACTCTCCCATGCCCACAGTCAAGCCCTGGCTTGTTCAGATGCCAATTAGCCAATTTGTTGACTGAACCAAGTTCCTTGTTTCTCTAGCCTTTTTATCTTTCTAGTCCCTGTCTGGGCTATTTGAGGTCTTTCAAAGGACAAACAAAGAAAAGGAGAGGCTCAAAAGACCTTGGATAGAATTTCCACTCCCTGGGGGTTCTTCTGTCCTTTGGGGCAGTCAAATCCAGGTTAACTTCAGGAACCAGGAACGCAGATGTGAGCCACAGCGAATGCTAGGAATGATTTTACCAGCAGGGGGTAAAAGAAAGCCCAGACTTGGATAATTCCTAATCCAGCCCCCCTCCCCCCAGAACACCCACCTGGAGCTCCCAGTTCATTGACCACCCAGGGATTTCAGACTTTTTAAATATATTACCAGACAAAGGCAACTTAGACTGGACCCAGCTATTCAGGGTGACTCCTTGGCTCTCTAGGACCAGTTTGGATCTTGCTGGGGGTAGGGGTGGAGGATGTGAAAGGGGGGAATGTCCAGATCTAAGTTCATTTCTTCAGAACTAAATTAGGCTTGCCCAACTCTACCACTGACTGGGTATTTCACTTCAGGCAAGTTATTTCTTTTTGGGTCACAGTTTCCCCAACTATAAAATGAGGGTGTAAGACTAAATTATCACTGAGGTCCTTGCTAGTATTGATATACAATGATTTTGTAGTCAGCTACTGAGGAGTTAAGGGAAGAGGAGGTAAGAGACCTTAGAAATTGGACTCAGTGTTACCACCTGAAATGGAGTTAGTGTGTGGTTTGTTGGAAAGAACATTTTACTCTGAAAGTTGGGAGACTTGTGTTCTGGTCTTAACTCTGTGACTGACTTAGCTTGTGGCTTGGAACAAACTGCCAAATGGCTCAGTTTTGAGAATTTTGAATTTTGCATTTTTCCCCTCTTTTAAAATCTGGAAAATAAGGAAATTGGACTATATATGATTTCTAGTTTTCTCATTAGGCCACTTAAAATTCATAAATTTAAAGATTTAAATTCTGAGTCAAGTGAATTTGTGAAAAAGGGGAGGGAAGCAAAGATTTTTGGTTTTTTGGCCATTTTGGACTTAGAGTCTAAAGACAAGGGTTCAAATGAAAACTGCCCATTCCTAGTCACTTGGTCGGTCAGTTTCCTTGTCTAGAGGAAGGTGAGTACCGATCTGTTGGGGTCTTTGAAGGAAAAGCAGGCTTGTAAACGTAGACTTGTCACTTGTTCACTCCTGAGCTCAGTGATTGCACTGGGGCCCCCCCTCATAACCCAACCCTTAAATGATTTAGTAAGTAGGCTTCAAGAATGACTGTGGTCAAAAATGCCATTACCCTGTGGTCAGCTTGGTGATGAGGCTACTCGTGCTGAGGGTTGGTTGGCCGTCTTCTGGCAGATAATCCAGTCCCTCCATAGGCCCATCCTTCAGGCCCTTCCAGCTTGGTAAGGGCAGCCAGAACTTGTGCTCCACTATTACGGACTTCAAGAACCTAAGGCCATTTTCATGCCGAGATGAAGAGACAGCAGAGGATTTAATGGTTATGATTATAATCTATAAAATGGAGCTAACCATTCTTACTTTACCTGTCTTCCAAGGCCATTGGGAGGTTTGCATGAGATAATGACTAAAATACTTTCTAGTGACCGTGGGCCTTAGAATTAATAGTTAGGATTATCAGCCTGTCAAACTCTACATGTCTTTCTTAGACCTACACTTCCTCCAGCCTTTCTTGTTTCAGTTTAGGGGACCACCTCACCATCCTTTTAATATCCTGGGTCCACAACCTTGGAATCATTCTTGACTTTCTTCTCCTCTCCCAACACTATTGTTGAGCTTGCAGTTCACTAAAATTCTTGGGTATTTTTCAGACAAACTGTTTTCTAAAGCACGGCTCTCTCCTGTTGGATGTGTGAAATTCATTCATATCTTGGGCTTAACTTAATATATTGGGCCCAGTGCTCCAGCCTTTCAGACTCTTATCATCCAATGTGTGTTAACCCTCCCTCTCAGCTAGATGTTGCCTGCAAATCAGCAAATTGACCTTTATCCACGTCACCGATAAGAATAAGTGATTTTTGAAAGACTCCTTTCGGGGTTGATGCAAATGAATGAATGACAACTCTTGGGGTCCATCCATTCAACCAGTTCTAAAACCACCCAGTTGTACTGACATCTTCTGGGCCGCATCTCTTCATCTTTCCTCCAAGAAGAGCATGAGGTAGTTTTATCACATACTTTGCTAAACTTGTAATAGACTCAGTCTCTAGCATTCCCTGGATCTACTGGCTTAGTGACCCTGTCAGAAAAGGAAATATGGTTAGTTTGGAATGACCTGTTCTTACTACGCTGGCAAGTGCCTCCACGTTTCCACTTCTGAGAATCCCCAGCTTCCTTAAAGGCCCAGCTTTGATGCTACCTCCTACAAGAAACCCATGTTAGAGTCCTTGGTTAATAGTTCCCTCTTCTGTTCACTGAATAGAAGTATGCAATCTTGTATCAACTATATATATATCTTTTTATATTCTGTATTTGGAATAGAGTGTAAGCTCCTTGTGGGCAGAGATTTTTTTTAATCACTGGTATATAGTGTCTTGAATATAGTAAGTACCTTAAAATGTTTATACAATTAAATTTATTAATATTTTACCCTTGTGATCTTTCTCCACCCCCCACCCCACCCCCTTCCACTCGAAGCATGAATTTAGAGAGTTCATTGTGTATACACAAGGATAGAGATGTGTGACTAAGTTGCAGGTAGCTCTCTGAAGGGCGTCACAGGGCCTTGGGCCGTGACTTTTGGCCATAGGTTTACATGGGTCCCTGGCTTTGGGTGGTATGTGCTTAGCCATCCTCTGGACACGCCTTTCTTTGTTGTGTATGTTTGCCTTCAGTGTGTGACCTTTCGTTATTTTCTTCTTTCCAGAACGGCCAGAGCTTCGGCATCTTGGATGAACAGAAGTTTTGCAAAGAGCTGCTTCCCAAATACTTCAAACATAACAATCTCTCCAGCTTTATCCGCCAGCTCAATATGTGTAAGTACAGGGCTTCACACTCTGGACCATGCCCTTAATATCTGAACCCTCACTCCACATTTGATGGTAGCCATTCCAGCTTCCAGTTGTCATTACATGACCATTCAAAGATGAGAAGTTTCTGTCTTCCTGGGGCCTTCCTGTTCTCAGCTCAAATCTTGTCTCAGTAAAATTTTTGGACCTTTCAGAGCCAGGGCCCAAGATTCCACTTCTTGGAGGAATAAAAACTATTCATCCAGGCCCCAGCCCTCTTTCCCTATGTTGAGTCTAAACACTTTGCTGTTGGGAGAACAAGGAGCCAGTGAATTAATTCACGGAGTAGATACTCTGTGTGTGTGTGCGTGTGTGTGTGTGTGTGTGTGTGTGTGCGTGTGTGTGCGTGTGTGTGTGTGCGTGTGTGTGTG